CATGAACACAAACCATGAGAAAAGGCTTTCAGAAATGCAGGTTAGAGTTTGGATTGAATCAATGAAGTTTGTTTGCATGTATTTTACAAGAATAATTATGAACAAATTTCTGTCATGCTCAAAAAATCATTTTGTGACAAAATAAATCTCCCAGTTTATGATAGATTTTACAAGATTTCTTCAGCTACCATTTATGATATTTAAGAAAAGTAAATCTTTATACGATTAAACATAGGCTTAAAGTGAGAAGAAAAAATAATATTTGTAATGAAATTTTGTGATGAAAGATAACTAGTCATTATAGGTGCAAAATATGTATATTAAACATATATAATTAGAATGCATAGAGTAATTTAAAATATAATTTTTTTCTGCTCATAATATATATATATATATATATATATATATATATATATATATATATCACATTAAAAGTAAAATAAAATATAAATTTATATTACTTCTAGCTTCAAATTTATTCTTGTTGGGATCTATCACTTGCAACATTTGTTCCTTTGTAAACAAATTATGGTCTCAGTTTGAAGAAACATACAAAATATATAGGGTAAACGAGTAATTCAATTTTAAATATAAAAATTCAAATAAGATAAAATAACATAATTTAACTTCAAATTTTTATATATCACATTAAGCTCATAAAAACTCACATTCATGTATAGTAGACAATAGACAATTTTTGGAATACTAGATATTAAATTAGACATAAGAGATTTGCACATGTCACACCATAACTCTCCAAGTACATAACACAAAGGTGCTCAGTTTGGTATATACACTCATATGTGATTAGGGTAAATTTCTAGATGACTTACCAAAACACATTTTTTTTTTATAGAAACTTTCTTCAGCTCATACCACCTAATCTTTTATCTATGTGATTCTAGTGATCAATAGCATCGGGGTATTTCATCGAGTCCTAAATCAATATTTATACATATATTATTACAATGAATATATCATTTGGTAATTCTCATGTCACAATACAATATTTTTTAAGGCACGTAATAGCATTTAACACACCTCATTTCATATTCATAACATGTATTTTAATAGCTTACGACTACATACATATAATTTCTCACATTATTACAAAATGTAATATTTTTTTATTTTATTTTGTCCACTCTTTTGACCATAACTTTTTCTGTAGACACCCTTTTAAACTAATTTTTATTTTATTGGATTCCTTATTTTTAGAGCTTTAATTTTCATATATAGAATATTTAATTTGGAGTTTAGAGCTATTTTTTATAATTTTTCAAAAATAAATGAGCGAATTTCAATCCATTGAACAAAATTTTGATTGAATGTAACCTCCAACACTACCTAAAATCTGTTGAGCAAATCTGAAAAAGCTGAGTGGAATTTTGACAAAATGAAACCTCCAACATTGTCCACAATTCACTAAACGAATTGGCAAGCGCTAAGCGAATCTAAGTGTTTTCCATATTGCCTTAAATTTGTTGAACAAATTTAGATCGACTAGCGGATTTGTGGCATTAACATAACATGCTCAATTCTTTATTTCTAATGTTTCAAATCAAATTAATTTAAAATACTTCCCTCCAAATTGTAAATCAATTTACTAAATTCAATTTAAGAACAATATATTCATATAAAATACTATCATTTTCAATCTCGTAGAAATCAATTATATATAACACTCAATACAATCATTACAAATAAACACATATACAATCACAAAATCTAATTTCGTGAAACTCAAACAATGTGACTAAGTCTCTTTTACAGTCTATATCTTCTAGATTAGGGTAATATGAAAATTAAAAAATAATTAATTTCTCTTACCTCAAACACATTGTCAGAGAATCTCAAAAACTCCTAAATTCTTAGGAAGATTGATCTTGCTTATAAAAATTTCAATTAACAAATTTAGCATATCACAATATTCTTAAACTAGTCAAGATTAATCTTTTCAAACAAAGTCTATATACAAGCTCCCCGACATTCACATGCAAACCTAAATTATGCAAAAATGATCTAAAATTGAGAAAGGAGAAACTTTATTTAAAATTCTGATAAGATAAAAATGATATTTTCTCCTTCGAAGCACTAAGGTATGTTTAAATCTAGAAAAAGATGAGAGAGTGTGAGAAATTTAGTGAAAAGACATTGAAAATGGAGTTACACAAATATAATAATTTGGTGAGAATAAAGTTTGAATGATTAAACTTTTGTATTTATATTTTTTTTTACGATAAAATTTTAAATTTATTCTCATTATAACACTTCTCCTCTTAATTCAGTGAATGTTCACACGATACTACTAATTATATACTAATTGTTGTTTTATAATTGTTTAATGATATAACAGTGATATTTAGTTGTGCAATTGTTTAATGATATTATTTGGAATAATTTTGTTTTTCTGTGCTGTATACATTTTGATTGTGATAGATTTTTTATTATTATCATTAAATGTTGGTTTCAATTCACTTACGATTTAGTTATTTGATGTAGTTTTTTTTTTTTTTTTTTAAATATGTAGATGCACAAATGCTTAGTGTTTAATAATGCCAGGAACGGAGAGAAAATGTTTACATGTCTAGATTGAATTTGTAATTTCAGATACTTAAAAAAAACTACTAATATTGTGTTTCAGATATTAATATTAGCATTTTTTAATTATTAAATTATCAATGATTATATAATTTTAGAAATATAATATTTTTAAAAATTTATGCTTCTTTTTCCAATTTCATTTATTTAATTAATTCCATTTTAGGTCTATGTGACAAAAGTTATTTAGTTTGTGGTTGATTGTTTTGTTACTAAATTTGATTTTTGTTTTCTATCACAAAATTACCATTAAATATGTCATTATAAATTGTGACGAACATGTATTGACTTCAAACGACTCTATCCTACTTTTAAGTGACTACCCACAATTTATATTAGAGAATTTTGATGAGAAAAAAAGTACTTTGTAACTATAAAAATTTGGATCCCATATTTATAGATAGAGAGATATTTATTTATAAAGTTAGAAGCTTATTTTTAATTCTCACCATTATTGTATTTATTATCTAGTAATAACTTATTTTAACTCTTACATTAATAATAAGAATAAAAATAAATATTTTAATTTTTTTATGTCTCCTAACTTCTTTTCTTTATATATATATATATATATATATATTATTATTTTTTTCAAAAAGAAATTTAGATTAGAAATTTCGTATATTATACCATCTTATAAATTTCCAAAAACATTTAGTAACACATGTTATTTATCCCAAAACTCACATAATATTATTCTATATAATTTTTTTAATATTCTTAATTATTGTTTGGATTGAAAGATAAATTTGAGAGAAAAAAAGAGGAAGAAATTGAAAGAGAAGATTGTTTATATTGAAAAATAAATGAAAAGTGAAAAAATAAATAATAAAAAATGATAAATGATACTATTGATTTAATTAATTAAAAAATAAAATAAGATAAGATAAATTAATAAATAACAAATGTATTTTTATTATAAAAAATTAAATAAAAATAAAAATATAATTTAAGATAAAATAATTATTTTAAAAATAGATAAAAATAAATAAAAAAGTAATTTATATATAAATTTTAAAAAATTGTGATATTTTAAAGAAATTATTTTAAAAAAACTTCCATCAAATTATCTTTTATATATGTTTTTATATAGTATATATAACGTATTGAAATCATATTCCAACTTAAAAAATATGATTAACGGAATTATGGTAATTTTATACTAAAATATTTCTATGATATAATTAACAAAAATCTCAATGCAGAAATTATAAATAAAAAAAATACAATTTATTTGTGTGCTAAACTTCTGCAATTGTAAAATTATGAAAAAATAAAAATAGAAAGGGTAAAAATGATATTTTATTACTTTCAACTGTCGTTTTAGCCATTTCATTACAATAGAGAACGGCTAAAATGGATGATTATTCCAAGAAACTTTCTCTGCGAATCACAGAAACACAATAAATTATTGCATTTTGGTGTTCTCTTTTCTGCAGAAAGAATACATAATTAGAAACAAACATAAGCTTAATATTGATACTACATTAAATTGTATAACAAGTCACAATAATAATCATACACATAAAAATATATACATGCATATTACAATGACATTATATGGGTTGTGGTAGAAACAATGTAATATATGGCACGGTAGTATTATGGTAAATATGACAAGCCTTTGTTCATATAACTTATGTAATAAAGCCCTTTTAACATTGATTCAAACTAGTGCTCTTTACTTTGAAATGACACCGGATTAACAAAACACTTTTTGTATTGATTCAAACGCACGATTTTAACAAAACAATTATTAAATTAGTTTTAAAAATTTTAAAACTAAAAGAATAAAAACTATTTTTTAAGTAGTAAACAAACAAGTGTTTTTTTATGAAATGAAACAGGATTACCCTCAAAAAGGTTTTTTGTTCGATAAAGTATCAGAGCAGGCCAACATAGTTCATCAACTTTTGATATGTCTACAACTTCGAAAGGCAATTTGTATAATTCATTGCTGGTGTTTCCAAAACATGTAAAAGATAGTTCCTTCTATTTTATTTCAGTGTATGTGATGTGGCCATTTAAACTTGTAATAAAATCAGATCAAAACCAAAATTTGAAAACCCTAGTCATTACCAATACTAAACCTCACTCAATAATTGGAACACAATTCACACAATTGGGTGTTTCCCTATCTGAACAGGCCAATATAATTCATTAAACGTTAAAATGTTAATCATTTTTAAAGGCCGTTTGTAAAATTCATACTGGTAATCCCAAAACATGTAACCAGGACAACGTCCTTTTTATTTTATTTTCAGTGTACATGATGTGATCATTTAACCTCACATTATAAAAATCAGATCAAAACCAAAATCTCAACCTAAATCACTACCAACATTAACCTATAACCTAATTCAACATGAATTTCAATACAACATACATAATATAGGTGTTCAATGTTGAGCTCCCACCAATGCCATGTGCTCTATAAGGTCTAACACTCGGGTGCTGCAACACAAACCATTCCAAAAATATATCATTTAATGATAAGCATGAACAGAAATTTCTACAATTTCAACGAGTCAATGCTTGGTATTTAGTCTACTTATGCAAAATGCAAGCATACCTGTAACCCCATTCATTGTCATACCACGAAACCAGCTTAATGAAGGAAGAACTAAGTGCAATGCCAGCCTTAGCATCAAAGATACTTGACCTGAGCAAGAGAATTAATTTTGAATTGTAAAAGCCAAAATTAACAAATAATATATCCAATCCATGAGTTCCAGGGAAAGAAATGAAGGATTGAAGGTTCAGTTTTCTTTGGTGAAAACTATAAATGTTTTAAACACACGAGACAAGCCCAAAACCAAAATGGACTTCTCATGTTCTATGGTGTCTCACTTTCCAACCAGAAAGGTAATTCAACAATGTTCTTCTGGTAAAGGTAACACAGTAGAACACAATGTACCTTGAATCACCAACAAAGTCATTAGAGACAACATCCTCTTCTGTGTACCCAAGGATTCCTTTCAGTGGTCCCTCTGAGGCATACCTTCATATTTTTCAGTAGCAACGTTAGTACAAAACAGTAGAGGGTATAAAAGATGGAGCAAAATAGCAACAGACATACTTTATTGCAGCTTTAACATCTTCATAGGAAGCATTCTTCTTAAGCCGGCAAGTCAAATCCACCACAGAAACATTGGGAGTTGGTACACGGAATGCCATCCCAGTGAGTTTTCCATTTAACTCAGGAAGAACTTTCCCAACAGCCTGTGATTTCATAAAACAAACCACCCAAATTCATATACCTATACTGAAAATAGTAAACATAAAATCTGTGTCCATCCATCTCTTACTTTCGCAGCACCAGTTGAACTTGGAATTATATTTTGGCTTGCCCCTCTTCCCCCTCGCCAGTCCTTCATAGAAGGGCCATCTACAGTCTTTTGTGTTGCTGGGTGAAGAAAGAATAAAATGTTACCAATGCCACATGTGAACATATAAAGGAATGGCTTGACCATAAGGAAAAAAAAACTAGAGGCTACAGTTAGCAAGTTTGCAAAGATACCTGTTGTTGCATGAACAGTTGTCATTAAACCTTCAACTATACCAAACTCTTCATGAACAACCTAATGAATAATTTACATCGGAAAAGTTAGATACTTATACACAAGTTTCGCATGGGAAAGATGAAAGGGTGAGCAAGATGTTAAAATCTTTATATGGATTATTGTTTCTAACACAATGCCCCAATCATTCAAATAACTAATAGATCAACATTAACTCCAGTAGAAGATATTTGATTAAGGTAAACATGACAGTATAAGTTGAAGAATAGATAAAATAACATTGCACGTCTTGGACACACCCTAAAAATCAGCCCCTGATGAACCACCATATAGATTCAAATAGATCAGCATTAACTCCATTGAGTTCATATAAAGAGTAAAAGACTGGATCTATTTCAGTAGAAAATATTTAGCTAAGAACAACATAACAATGTAAGTTGAAGAATGGATAAAAGTATACAGCTAAAAGACTAGACCTAAAGAAAAAATTGTATATAGCTAAGGAAGAGGAGCTAACATAACAGTGTAAGTTGAAGAATGGGTATAAGTAAACAGCTAAAAGACTGGACCTAAAGAAAAAACTGTATATAGCTAAGGAAGAGGAGCTTCCATTAAGCCATGCAGATAAATCTAACACCATCAAACTACATAACAAAAACATTATCATCACAGAGAAATCCATGAGTTCAATAAACCTTGGCAATGCATGAGCAATCAAACCTTGGCAAGTGGAGCAAGACAATTGGTTGTGCAGCTTGCATTAGAAACAATGTCCATTTCTGGGTGGTATGTCTTCTCATTCACTCCTACCACAAACATTGGTGCATCAGCAGATGGAGCTGATATTATTACTTTCTTGGCACCAGCCTACAGTGTAAAAAGATAAAGATCAAATTAAAATTTGATGTTGGAGAGTAGGACAATAAAGAAGTGAAGAATTAAATAATCATAAGTCTTAACACACAGGTATTTGAATACCTTCAAATGTGATGAAGCTTTCTCAACAGTTGTAAAAACTCCTGAAGACTCAATGACATAATCAGCCCCAAAATCACTCCATGGGATATCTGCAGGATCTCTGAAATACAGAAACAAAATTTGCGCATGTTAATCTATTTTCAGCACACTTACTGTAAACCAGTAACACATTTGTAACATTCATTTTAATTATCAGTGCTCAACTCATGATACCTTTCGCTCACAACTTTAACCTGCTTCCCATTAATTTCCAAAGTAGAGTCATCCAAAGCCTTAATGGTCCCCTTGAATGCACCATGGGTAGAATCATATTTAAACATGTAAGCCTGCGAGAAAAAGATTAAATGATAAAGCAAAATGTAAGGATGAAATAGACAGGGTCCCATTAAAAAGGAGAAAAACCAAATACAAATAAAAAACCAAGCATCAACAGTAAATGAATAAAAAAAATTGCATGCAACAATAAATTAATTTAAAAAAAGGCAACAACAAATAAATAAGATAAAAGATGAATTTATTGAAAAAATTGGAATAAAAGTGTACAACAATACACTCACCAATTTCTCAAATGTTTTAGAACATTTATTTTCATTGCATGTCATGAACAGTATGATTATCTACTGCAGCACTCTATTTTTTATCCAAAAAATACTGGCACTAATATTCCTTGTTCCCAACAATTGTCACGGCCTACTTCTCACAAGATTTTGTAGTTGTCAACTCAATCTCTAAGCTCCCGTATACTTAAAAAGAATTTTGTTATGTTATAACAAGACATTGGGCGTTGAACAAACAGATAAAGTCCTCTTATTTTGGACGAAAACAAGAAAGTCCCCTCAATTTATGGTTCCATTTGAAATTCAATAATACAGAGCAAAAGTAAATGAGGAAATACTGAAAGAGAGCCAATGATTTTTTTTTTTTGCTTTGAGATATGTTTTCAGACAGATCACAGATTGGATTCCCTAAAGTTTAGACAAGGCTTCAAGCGAAAATAATAAAATAATCTAAATAAATCTCAAGATATGTAAAATAACAAAAGTTAAGAGGGCACTAAACAACAAGGACTAAAGTTGAAGAACTTCCCAATTCAATCAGCATGACAGATACAAGACACATTATGTCACTACAAATTGGTAACATGGAAGGCATAAAAAATCAGAGCATTATACTTGCAAGTTTGATTCAGATTGTTTTGAAGAAAAATAATCATGGCTTCGTCAGCTTCAAAGGAGAGAGTTTGAAAAATAAGGTAGTATATCTTAATTTTAATCTTTACCAAACATGCTATAATATAAATCTGATTCTTAGACGTGTCCTGGCATCCAAAACAAAAAGCAAAGATTTTGGAAATAGATGTATGTATCATCATATACATAAATATGTACACAAGAAAATACAAAACTTAATAGTCTATAGGTCTGCAAGTATAAGAGCCAAATGATGAACATAATATACTGTAAGCAAAAGGATCATTAAGGTTACCGCATGTACATACCATATATTTTGCATTAACAAATGGATCATTAATTGCAATAACATCAATATCATCTCTTGAAGTTGCTACACGTAGCACCAACCTTCCAATTCTACCAAAACCTGCAATTTCAGCATAAGTACATGACACTTTAAAAACAAAGCTTTAGACATTTAAAACAAAGCTTACATCTTCTACATAACTACAATTTATATGACACTTTTGAACAACAGTTCTTTAGGCTCAAGCATGATATGCAGGTTCCTAAGACCAAACTAAAAATAAATAGAAATAATAGTCTACTATTTTTTTCATTTATAACTTCATAACTTAATAATTGATAAATCTACCTCAACATTTTGCACAGATCCTCCAATAAATTGAGAACTCACAAAAATATCATTTGAAAACTTACAGGTTAAAAGCATACAGATTCCAGTCAATATTAGGCCAGATTTGATTACCTTCATCAAACATTACCAATTTTATCCAAAGTAATTAGACAGTTAAAGGAATCTTTTTTACAAAAGCATTTACACATGCCAAAGTCATATGCATCATCAGTAACTTTGGATATAAAAGGTTGAACAATTCTTATGAACTATCCTAAATAAAACCAGGATAAAATGAAAAGATGACAGAGAAAGCAATGCTTACAATAATTCATCGTCTATGAAGAATTTTGTACTCGGTGCAAAATTGAAAGTGCATAATAAATTAAATGCGACAAGTAGATATAAGAAACTAAGAGAAATCTCATAACAAGAAAGTTACCGTTTATTCCAACTCTTGTCTTCCCAGTGCTCCTTGATTCTAATCAGACCAAACCAGGACAAGTATGAGAATCAAGAAATTCCATGCGGATCACCCTAATCTAAAGACAACAGTGGTAATATTCTTACGCTGGGTGGGGAGAGGGATTTCTGTTGCTGTGGCTTTAATAGGCTGGATCCCCCGAGCATTGTAGCTTCTGTGCAAACACCAATAAATGAGAATTACAAATAATAAAAAAACCACCAACTATTAAAGGAACCGAAATATCTAAGAAAAGAGGAGCGATAGGTAAAAATGTTTGAGCAACTCAACTGTAAGACTAATGAGTCATATTGAATTGAAGTACCAAATATGCTGCTCTGTAATCCCATAGATTTTACATTACAGCTCGAGACGTTACTAAATACCTGAATCGCACAACACACATATAGATACATCAGTAAAATGCTACATCCAAAAAACACATCAATACACTAACAATGGATCGTCAGAAAATTAAGCATGTAAACCATGACAAGGAAACTTTTCTTAACCATCAAAGATTGACAATCAGAAAATTTTCTTTGAAATCTCTCAGACTGTATTTTCTTCAGAAAACGCTACATCTTGTTCCCCATCTACCCCGTCTTCTTAGCAGGCTAACAAAAATGGGTTCCCACCAAATCCAAAACCAAACTTTGAGAACTAAAAATGACTATAATAAATACCTATAAATAAATAGATAAATAAACGAACAAAAACGTGAAACCCCAAAGTTTTACGGTATCATCGCAATCCTTGATATTAACAAATATATAAGCAGTTTCCCAACACGACAACCCAAAAATCTAGACGTTACCGCCTTAATGTCAAAAACCGTCCTGTTAGAACAGTCTAAATTTTCCACCAGATTTCTCGCGATAAAAAAACGAATATGGAAAAAAATGACAAAGTTAACCGATCAATAAAAGAATAAAATAAAAAGTGTTGGTTCTCTGAATAACAAAACAGAGTTCAACTAATTCCAGAGACAAGTCCAAAAATCCATAGAACCAACCAACCAAACAATACAAACAACAACACATAAACCGAAATACATCAGAGCAAGTTCGGCTCGGTTACAGTACTTGGTGACATTTTACAAACAAATGCAGGAAAATGCGAAAAAAGATGCGAAAATGGAAGAACAGTCAGAGAATCGGCGATGCGAGAAGAGACCTTGAAGCGATCGGAAGATGAAGGTGCGAGGAGCGCGGATCTGAGGAGAGAAGAAGCGGCCATTGGATAAGGCAAAGAGTGCAACAACCGAACCCTAGAAAATCAAAGGGTGTTTTTTGCACCCAGCAAGGAAGAATAAGAACGAAGAAGAAGAATGCAAATGTGGCACTGTTTTTTCTCGGTTTCTTTTTATTTTAATAGCAGCACCTAGCGGAACTTCTTATGGAATGCTGCCAATTACTCTTTCTAAAGTTTCAACGTCACTGTATCACACAACCTTTTCGAAGTACGTGGAAGTTATCACGTGCAGGAGAGTCTACGAACCAATAAAAAGACTATTACAAAGGAAAGAAACAAAAATTAGCATTAATATATATATATATATATATATATATATAATAAATAAAAAATTAAAAAATAACTTCCGTAATTTCTTGAGAGCAAAATCCAACTATGTATTACAATTCTTAAGAAAAAAATTGATATCCATACTGAAATAATAAATTCAGAAAACACATTTTTATATTTTTAAAAATTAGAAAACAAAAATTGTTTATGAATATTTTAATATAATAAATATTCAAATAATTTTTAAAATTTATGAAAACTAAAATAAATTTTAAAATTGATAATTAAAACTAAATTAATGGATGAACAATAATATATGTGTTGTGGGTGAGAATTTAGTTATTTAAAATTTGAAAGTATATTACTTTGACGATGGACCGTGACGTAGACGATTACTATTACGAGCATGAGCGTTGGTATGGCGAGTGAGACTATAGAAGAGAACAATTTGTCGTTAGGTTAAAATTGTTGTGAGTAGCAGAAACGAGGGCTGATGCGTCTCGTTCCTCGGAAGACACGTAAGACAACTGTGAGTTTTTTCTGGGGGTTTTCGTCTCCTTTTTGTCTGTCTTGGTCGTTTCATCGTCTCTGTTTTCAATTTTTAGGAAAAATTAAAAGTCACCTCTAGTTCATTATATTTCAGTATTTTTGTAATATATTAAGTTTTTTTATTTTCTTTAACTAAATCGTTAGACAGATTAAAAGATTGTGCTGATGTGTTCTTCAACAGAGTTTTAAAAGTTTCAATTTAATATTTTATGTTTTTAAAAGATTATTTCATAATGTAAAAAGATCATTTTTTTTATTAAAAAAACTCAATTATTATAAAACATAATTATTATTTTATTTCATTATTTATGTATCTTATTCAATTTACTTTCACTGTATAATAAAAAAATCATTCACTCAATTTTTGAAAACATGATAATATGATTTTTTTCCATTAAAAAAATAAAATTATTAACAATTTGAAATTATGTATAATATAATTTATAATCGGTGTATAATGACAGTTTATAAAATTAACAACGTCAAAATTAATAGCTTCTAAAAAATATGGAAAGACTTAAAATAAAATAGATAAAATTGAATACAATATATAAATAATAGAAAAGAAAATATGTAAATTGTATAGATTAATAAATATGTAAATTATTTTTGTTAACTTATTTAACTTGTTTTGTATAGAGAGAAAAGAAAAAAGAAACAAACCTTTTTTAAAAAGATAAATTACTATATTAAGATTTTTAATTTTTAATATATCAAAAATATAAACTCACTAAAACATAAATAACATTTAGACTGAAAATATTTAAAATTGATTACGTTAACTTTTAAATCATAAAAATTACATTTTTATTTTTAAAAATGAAATTTAATTTATAGTGTTGATAAAGTAAATCGCTTTACACTATTAATTATTCATGAATTATTTAAAAAATATTGGTAAGATACCTAATACAGAAATAAATAAATTTATTGTATAAAATTAGCAAATAAGTTATAATTTTTCAAGTTTTCTAGATTTAATTCATGTAATTATAATATAAATTTTATATTTTAATCTTTCCATTTAAAATTCATTTATCTTAATCCTGCCGCATACCATTTTAATTCCTTTCAATCATTATATATTAATTATAAAAATTAAAAGATAAAGCTTATTTAACTATGGGATGAATTGATTAATTAACTATTGTTTCTTTTTTACCTTATTGTACAAAATTATTATATTTATATTTTTAGATTAATATAACTGATTCAAAAATTGAATGATTAAGATATTTATTTTAAAATTAATAAAATTTTACCTCTACTTGTACTCTATTAGACAATGGAGAAAAGGACAAAAATAATAATTGATTGACTTCAAAAGTGTCAGTTAAATACAACTTAGCTTACACATAAATTTCAAAATTGTTAATAATTTTATTATTATTAACATAACATGTTGAATTAATAGCAAAAATGTTGATCTATGTAAGATATATAAAACAGAATCTTATTCTAAGTGAAAGTGGGTGTTTGTGATACTTTAAAGAGAATAACTTTTGGTAGTGTAAAGGTCATGTTTGTTTGCCCTTTACTTACATGAAAGGTTATGGAATTTATAAAATAAACATATATTTCTTTAAATAAGTTCATTTCCAAATTTCATTTTACAATTTCAAAAATCTTAGTGTGATTTAGGTTACCATTAAAAAATCTTAATTATAATTAAAAAAAACTATAAGAAATTCTCTTTTTCTATAATTGACAGTTACATTTTTCCTTTTTAAATACCATTTTACATCTTAATAATATTTTAAAATTTATAATTTTTTATTAAAATTATTACAATATCTTAATTAAAAAATTCATAAATCAAAATTAATTTATATATAAGTTAAAATCAAAGGTGGGGTGGGTTCCTTAGAAGATGATGGTGACATGGTGTTGAATAAGCTGACATAGAAACGAGCAAACTTTATTCCTGAGACGTGTATAATCACTGCTCTTAAGGACTTATCCGCGATCTATTACGCAAGTCCCCTAGGATACAACGAAAGTCTGTAATAGTTATGGAAGACTTGGTAGTGGGTTTGTAACGTTCCCTGTAACGTTCTTTGAAAAGGTCTTATGCAACGTGTCTGAAAACACGTTCTCTGAAACGGTCTTCTGCAACGTTCTCTGAAAAAGTCTTCTGCAACGTGTGAGAACACGTTCTCTGAAACAGTCTTTTGCAACGTGTGAACTGAAACAGTCTTCTGCAACTTGTGAGAACACGTGCTCTGTTTTGCAATAGCCCTTAATTTACAACACATGAGATGATAATGCATAAATTGAAGAAGAGACTGAGAAGGTTACGTTTTGTGTTGAATCATAGGCAAATAGGAAACATCACATGCTCCCTTTCTAACACCAAGAGTTACCAACCCCACCAACCAAATTTCAGAATAAAATATGATACGATGATGGTGGTGGCTAGGTTTGGTTAGGTGAGAAAAAAAAAATATGGAGGATGCATACAACACAAAACATGTGTAGAATTGACCCATAGTTAGATACACATGTATGAGTGGGACAGGCTCTGATTCCAACATTTTTAGGAGCCAACACATGTGACTTTAATGTTAGGTACAAATATGAATTTGGTCTTTTAAAATTATAGTAATTTGAATTCTATTTTATAATTTTAGAAAATCTAAATAAAATTTTATATAATATTTTTTTATTTTAAATAAGTTGTACGTGGTGTTATTATAATAAAATACAATTTAGTGTGTTTGTATTTTAACAGTAATATATGAAAACCTTATTTTAAAAAATAAAACTAGTTTTAAAATTTATTTATTTATTAATATACAAATATTAACTTTAAAAAATTACATTTCAAAACATAAAAAAACTACTTCAAATCCAACTTGAGAAAAGGATCAAACAATGGAATATACTTCAGACATGAAAGGATTAATTTTTTATTTTATTTGTTTTATGATATATACACCGTTGTTGTGCGTAACCTTGATTTTAAAGATGAGTTTTCTTTATGTTTTTATTTTTTGAATTTACAATTTAAAATTTATTTTTATTATTACAAAAACAAAAAATGATTTTGTCTAAACAATTTTTAGTTCTCTGTGTACTTTAATTAATTTTCAATAGAGGAAAAAAAAACTGATTTAAATAGTGTTTGAAGTACAGAAAATTATCTATCTTGAAATTAGGAAAACAAAAATTAATCATGCATGTTTATATTAACACTTCTCTGTAGAATAATTTTAAGCATAAGCCTTTCTTAAAAAAATTAAGCATTACAAACAAATTAATCAGGATTAATCAAATTAATGTTGGTTAAATTCTAATAAAATGAATGATGACTTAACAAATTTTATTTTATCAGACTTTAAAATGTTTCAATAAGAAAGTGAAAATTAGTTTAACTTAAGAAATAAAAGATAAATTTTGTTATATATATATATATATATATATATATATATTAATTTGAGCATAATTATAATAAATATTTTCATATTAACATTGATATTATATTAAAAGATAAGTTTAAATTTAATTTAATATTATAAAATTACTTATAAATTATATTATAATTTGATTATATGTAAGTTTGCATATATTTTAAGAAGTTTCATTATTATTTTGTGGACTTTCTTTTTTCAATAACATTTTTTGTCAAAAAATTAAGATTTTTAAGTCTTTGAATCTTTGACTGAAAATTTAAGAATTGATTTAAACTAATGAAAGTGCATTTTTCTAACTAATTTTTGTTTTTTGTTCAAACTCATGCTTCTCGCCTGCCAAATTTGAATGAACCGAAAACAGTGCCATGAATCCACCTGTCAAAGCAACGTACAGGCTAGTGGCTACTCACAACCGCCATCTGGGCTTGAACCAATCCCCTTTTTGGGCCAATGTTTCAATCTAGCATTTTATTATTTACACTTCCTTTTACTAGTACTGCACTCCCTTTGGTTGTTGTTTTGTAGGGAGAGTAGAGTGTGAACATAAAGAAGCTTAGTACTGTTTCTTTTTCTTGCTTCAATTTGGGCTCATGAATATGAGTTTGGGGCTTATATGTCAGGAGACTATTTTTTTTTTTTCGATTTTTGGCCAATCACAGCTTTTATTCTAGGCTAAATCAAGTAATTAAAAATAATTATTTGATTCTAACTTTAAACTTATTTTGACATAACTTCTTATAAATATTTAAATAACATACAAGATTATTCAAATAATAAATAATTTAATTTTAGAGAAGAGCTAATTTGAACTTTATTTAAAAAAAATATAATTCATCTCAATTTATCTAGTAATTATATATATATATATATATATATATATATATATATTTAACTTATACCAAAATATAAGATGTTATAAATTTTAGATACTAATCAATTTAGAATGAATTTAATCATTGATAATTAATAGCTTAATCATTTAATCATTGATAATTAATTTAATCATTTTATTTTGAATGTCTAGCCTTCATTTTATACTTTAATTAATTCTTCATATAAAAAAATATATGTTTTTTCCATTGTAAATATAATTAATCTAAAAAATTATAATTAAAATGAACCAAATCGGTTTTAACCTAATTTGTTTAACTTGTGACTTAAATAAACATAAGCTAAACCAGTCATAGGTTTATGAATCAGCTCATTTAATAAAATAAAAATAAAATAATATAATTTTATTTAAATATATGTATTATAATTTATACCGTAAATCCTTATATTAAAATTAAAATTAGTTTCATTAACGTAATTTAAAATTTTAAAATATATTTTTTAATTTTTATGTTTTTATTATTTTTTATATAAATTATTTTTTTATTGACAAGTTATGATTTTTTTATTAATTTTAGACCACAAAAATATTGATCTATTAACCTAACATAAAGTCATTATACAAAAAAGTCATAATTTATTTTAAAATATAAAACAAATCAAATTAAATTGCAATTTTTATTTTGTTCTACTTTGACCGTATAACTAGGATATTCGCACTTGATATGAAAGAAACAATGTAAAACAATTTTATTGTGTTTAGTTTCAAACTTCTACTATTTTATTCACTCGTGATTAAGCGTTCTTTGGCATTACATTGCGCTTTCAAGTTTTAAGAGTAGCTTATGATTTTTTGCTTATTTATCTTATCAAACTCGTGTTAGCGCCAATCTCTCCCCTACCCTAACCTGAGTGACAATGCAAAAAGCAGTTAATAACATGATGTTGGATGCAACCTAAAGAGAAAAAAAAAATGATCATCACGCACAAGATTAAACGAAAGAAAAACTAAGAGTTAGGAAAGATTGGGACATTTTATTCATATAGCAGGTCTTGCCTGTCATGTGTTGGATTGGGACATCATAGCATTAGTGGCTTTTTGACGGAACTAAGGTTCTGTCGAGCTTGTTCTAACAATTCATCAAAGATGACAGGATCTTTAATCACTGCGTTTACGCTAGAGTACATCTCATGTGAAGTAAATCCATCATCCTTCATGTAAAATATATGCAAAACTTTTATCATTTTCCAAAACAAATCCTTGCAATCTCTGGGAACTGCACTTCCTTTTTCATGCAAAATTAATCTCAGGAGTTCTATTCTCTTTTCCTCAGCAATACCCTTCAGTTTTTCGGAGGCATCTTCGGCAGTTAAAACTCCATTGCCATGAGCAATGTGCAAAGCCAGTGCATTCAATTTCCCTTCCTCAAATTCTCTCTACAACAGAGACAAAAACATTAGTCTCCACAAAACCAGGAAGGTAAGTAGGGAGCAGGGATGGATTACATACCTTGAAACTACGAATGTCATTAAGAAGACGACCGCATGTGCTCATTAGCTTATACAGATGGTTCAACTCATGACTTTCAGCATCTCCATCGGAAAGCTTTGGTCCAACAAGATAGAGGGCAGGAAGGACAATTGGACCCAAGGCAAATGATATGTATGCATTTTCCATATAATCATCAATTGTTGGCACAGTATTGGTTCTCAACCACTCAGCTTCTCTATACATTGATTGAATCAAATTCAACCACTGTAAAAAGAAAGTAAAGTCAACCTATTGGTTAAGAAAATTATCTTAACTGGGAGAATTCCAATGTAAATTTTCATGTTTTTTAAGAAGTGGCAAACTAAGGTTTTTCAAGGACAATATTTAGCACTAGAAATTTTCTTTTATTTGAGGGAGGGGTGCACAAAATTTCAGGGCTTCACTTTTTATATTCCCCAAAACATGACACTGTTGACAATTGACTCTACTGAAAATCAAAATAAAATGCAGGCACAAACATGAAGAAATGGCTCACAATCTTGATAACATTGTTTTTCACATTGCGTCCTTGCCACTTGACTGACTTCTCTCCAATCTCACAAACTGTGCTGTGAATTGCGGAAAATATAATCTTAACTGTTTCAGAACAAGAAACAGTGTTGATATCTACATCCCACCTGCAGCTCAATTGCAATAAAATCACTATTTGTACAGGAAATTTGTGATAGAGTTCAGACAGAAATCAAGAGGTGACCGTTTCAAGTAATAAAAGGAATATACTTCTCAACTAGTTGAATAAGGTCCACTAGTTCCTCTTCAGAGCCCCCAACATCAAAGAAATCATCAACAACTGTTGTGAGCACCCCATTTTTCGCCCAGGATATGCGAGCATCAGAAAGTTCAGAGGAGAAAAGTGTAGCTGCTACAGAGAAGTAACAATAGGCCAGTTTCTGCCTGGCAAATTTTAGTTTGTCCAGTCTGTTCTCGACAACCCATCTGCATATGATAACATGCAGTTACATCAACCTTGAAAAAACGTGATATGACAGTTATGTGATGCGTAGTATGGAAGTGAGGTGTGTGTTTCTTAAGTAGGTGTGACAGTTTTCTGTTTGACTGTGTTAATAAGCTGAAGTTGGTCGAAAGGAGGAGACTCCTTGTTAGGGCTCAGACCTGTCTTAGTATTCTATCCTACAAGTTCTGGTGCAATTCCCAAATTCTTTCAGTAAAATCTTCTAGTTTGTGTGTTCAAACATTTGAATTGAACAAAATGCATGTTCCGAAGTTGAAATATGAGTGGATACTGTCTTTATGATGCATATCAATAAAATCGCTACACAACTAAGCATAAGTAGCAGCATGAAGAAAAGAACCCAGATTCCTCAATGACATCAAGCTAGAAGAGAAAGCATAACTGCAGGAGGAAGATACACGTAAAACTCTTTGTTGTTTGCATAATCACAGCTTAAGGTATGATTAATTGATTATGATCTTTCTACATGGATCTCCGACCAAAATGTATTTCTTTGAAAAATTGAGGAGAGAAAAAGAAAAGAAAGACATACCTTGAAAGCTGTTTCAACTCTTCAATGTGTATTAATTGGCAGATATTGAAGTCTTCTACTGCAAGCTTTAGAATTTCTTGGTTTGCAAAATTGCCAGATCTGGACCATACTAACAATAAAAAATTTGATCTCAAAAAGAAAAGAATAAGAAAGAGCTTGAGACAATTGAAACAAACTAGCAGAGGGCCACCTATAAGATGATTTTAAAATTCTTGTTTCTTCTACATTGTAATGCTCCATCGATCTCCTGTTTAACAACCGCTCCAAATTGGCATGATAAGGGAAATTAAGAACATCCTTGACCTAACATGCATAAAACCTCACCGCTTTCAGGAAGGATTATAAGATTGTATAATAGCATGCAACTAAAGTTTTTGAAAGATTAAAACAACAAACTACCTCTAGGTCGACATAACTTTGAAGTTTATCAGCATATAATCTGTAAGGCGAGGATTCCTGCTTCAGAAGTTGTTTCGTCCACAAACTCTGTCTCACCAAAATTGATTCATCAGGGTGTATAATGGCTTGTGAAGCCCTATATAGCTCTATAACAGCACCAACATCCTTCAAGTACCCTTTCAGGGAGTCAGCAAATTTATCTTCAGAATATTGATAAAATGGATCTGCAAAGACACAACAGACAGATTAGCTTATTTGGCCTTGATCAAAGGTAAAACATTGAACTACTTAAATGTTACAAATGATCCAACCTGAAGATACATCATAGCCATTGAGACGTAACATTCGAAATGCCATTGCACAGGTGGTGGGATCCAAGAATATATCATCCACTCCTTGCACCCAATATCTGTTTTTACCCTCAAATTATATATACAGAGGAATTCAAGGGATGAAAATGAGAAGTTTCTTTGCTTTGACAAATGTTTTGAGTGTTCTTAAACTTACTATGAAAGGATCCATAATAACAGATGCATGCACCTCAAATGGATTACCTGTATGTATCATCCAATACACTACGAATTTCCTCTTTGAAATGATGATTAATACCCAACCTTTCTAGACTATCAATCATATAGAGACGAGCATATATATCCAGAGGGTAAACTGTCGGAACTGATTAAAAAAAAAAAAAAAAAAAAAAAAGAAAGGCCAATTACCCTACAAAAAAGTTGTAAGTGAAATTAAATCCAGAGAAACATTAGTCTAAAAAATACCTGCATTTCCAAACTTTTCTAATACAGATTGAAGGTAACCAAGACATTCAGCATTCTTAAGGCGCTGAAAAGCAGCTGCTGTTGTAGCAGGTGAATTAAACAAAGATCCATTCTTTCTTTGATACTTCATGATTGTTTTCCAGTCTTGTGAGTCCAGCATTCCTTCTGAAAGATATGCTTGATATGCTCTCCACCCTTCTGAATTGCTTTGAATACCTCTATGGAAAATTGCACCAGAAAGAGGTCAGATTGGGGACTTTAAGCTAAATGAAAAACAAAATGTATTGCCATTAAGAATGTGGCAAAAGGATCTCAAAATTGTGAAATCTTTCTTAGACAGGATAAATATTGAAATAAATACAAGAAAGCCAAAGTTCTACCTTTGGATCTCTAATTCTCTGTTCTGCATCATTGTTTCCAAGCTTGTAGCTCCAATTGGAAGCTTAATGCCCAAATTTTGTGCATATTCGATCAAAGAAGGAAAATTTATTTCAAATCCTAGGGGAGGGTGTTGCTTCTCATCATTAATTGAAGTAATGTTTGACTCAATAAACTGAAGACCTGGAGGAATATAAGGAAACTTCATTCGTATAGCACCAGAGAAAGCAATGGTTTAAGAAAAGTAAAGTACCCCTGTTAATTTGATCTTCTCCAACACCCCATTGCTTTAGAGCAAGGATGCATGCTAAGGTAGATAAGAGAGCATCATTCATTAGTAATGGGTGGCGATCAGGAAGACCCCAGGAACCATCTAAGAGTTGATTACCCAACAACCAATTTAAGCACTCAGGGAAAAGTGGGGTATGAGGAGAAGCTGGAGAGGGTATCATTGCCACCCAAGCTGTATCATATGAAGAAACAGAAAGTTCAACCTTGTTGAACATTTTCCTGATTCTTTCTTTTAAGTCCACACGGCACTGCAAGCATTTAAAACACATTTTATTCCCTCAAGGTTTCAAAAATAGTCCACAATTATGGTTGCAATGTCAAGGATTTTGCTGTCTTTGTGACTGTATCATGACCACTATTGCAGCTGCGATATTTTGCAATATTAAGAATCACAATGCAACTACAATTAATAAGTTATTGCAAAAGTAATGCTTCCATAGTCAATCCAAGAATAACTCTTTCAGACTACACAGGTTTATTTTCTTTTAATCTAACAGATAAAGATAAGTTACTCAGTAGAACTATTTGCTTAAAAGAAAATTAAAGGTGAGAATAGGGAGTGATTCTTTTAAAGTTGTTACTCTTAGATTAATCTGATGTCGCCACTCTCACCCTCTCTCTCTCTCTCTCTCTCTCTCTCTCTCTCTCTATATATATATATATATATATATATATATATATATATATATATATATATCTATATATATATATATATATATATATATAACATCAGCACATGCATGCCATACCCAGGATGTATTCTCCATTTTCTCCTTCGCATATGATGTAGTCACCATAGAATCTGTTGAAAAGGAAATCATTTTCAGACCTTTCTAGAAGTATTATAAGGAGATGTGCGTAGATTCATATGCACATAAAACAGGAGAAATCCAACAGTGAAACAAAACTAGATAGAAGAGAAACATCAAATATTTAATTTGAATTTACAATTTCCTAAGAGTATATAGACACTGCAACTTGTTATAAGCAGAAAGACAATATAGTAAGTAAAATCGTTTAGGTTTTGTCATATCCCAATTTTCAGTCAGGTGTATACTCAGAAAACAGAGAAATGCACTTTTCTATTAATCCATTTTGTTTAATCAAACAACGTCATATAACCGTTTTTCACTTTATACTGAAGAAAATAAACAAAGAATCAACCAAGCAAGCAATAAACACCCCAATCAGGTGCCGGTAATTCACATTCGAGAAACTTTGCCACCACAATTCCAAACTTGAGAAATACTTGGTCAATGCAACAGCTTCAATTCACCAAACTCTCTAAATGAAATTGAACAAAGAAAAATGAACAAAAAAACAAAAAAAAACAAAATGATTCAATCTAAAAAGAGAAAATTTGCATGGCCCTTCCGGAGTAGAAGAGAAAGGGACCTGAAGTTGAAGAAGTGCAGCAGAGAGGAGTGATGAGGCGTGAGAGAGACATGGCATCCAGTGAGTGAAAGGAAAGGAACGGTGTTTGGGAACACAAAGTGGGGCATATTTAACTCTCCAAGATAGTGAAGTGCAGTTGTGTAGTGTTCAGTAATGTACTGCATAATTAATTGTGGGAGACACTAGTCAAACTTTTTTTTAACTCATTTTCACGTATACGGAATTCGTTAATAATAGCTTTAATTGTTTTCTTTTGTTATAACTTGTATAAGGATGTTTTTTAATTTTATTTTTTTACTTTTTCATGAACATTACTATTATGTAACAAAATTTGAGAATTTAAAAAATCTGTGAAAATTAAAAAAAATACATATGATAAAATAAGAGGTAAAAAAAATAAAATAAGTAAAACAAAAAAAATAGAGAAATGAATATATAATGTAATTAAATATAATATAGAATGAGAAAATTTTATAACTTAATAAAAAAGTTATTGAAAAGAATGTAGTGTTAAGATGAGTAGTAGCATTTGTCTATTAGAAGGATAGGACCAACAAGAATTCAGGTGTACCACACTGCTAATCGGTGGTACAGAACACTCTTGACACCTAAAGAGAATATTTTTTGGATCTTTTGTATATTAATCACCATAATTGACATGACATGGGTGCAATGGTGCCTTTTCTTAGTATTATTGTGGGTCAATAATTGGAAAACTTTACCTGACATAGGTCACTGTATTCTTATTTTATTCTTTAAAAAAAATTTGTTATTCATCATAAATGTTTCAATAACAATTCTTTTAGGGAAAAATTTAATTGAGATTGATAATATTAAACTATGTTACCTTTTTAAAGAAAAAAATATTTATGTTTCAAGTGAATAAAATAAAATTAGAATATATTAAAATAATTACTTTAAAAAGTTATTCCAACTTAAAATAATTTTACAAATTTAAATGTCAAAACCAGTAAAACAAAATTTACAAATCCAATTACATTGGATTTTTGTGATTGCGTTAATATAAGGATTAGACATTTTACTAAATTAAACGCATTTGAAACATTATATATCTTTTAACGATTAGAAGTTTTATCTGATTTTACAACACATGATATATGTATATTGAAGTAAATGTTTTTCATTATATATATTTTTTTGTTTGAGTCTATATAATTAAATATAACTTCCATTACTTTATACTAGATGATATGGGAAATATTAAATGCTCTAAGAAACTTTTGAACAAAGTTTTTTTACTAAACCAATTCTTGCAAATAATTGAGCACAAATCTATTAAATAATACTTAGTTAGATACCACTAAATCTATTAGGTTTAATCTCAATTAACTAGGTTAAATCAAAATAGTGAAAAAATTTATAGAGAAAAGATATTATAAGTTTTAAGATTTTCATTATATTGTGTAATCTCTTTTTTGTAAAATAAAGTTTGATGTATTTTATGGTACACCAAATTCCTTGATCATAACATTATTGTTATCAAAACATTATTCTTAAGCAATCTATTATTTATTTTACGAATTTTATTTAATAAATTTTATAAAATAACACATTCTCTCCTCTACTCTCTCTTATTTATTTTATTTTATTTATTATTTTAAGTTATTTAAGAAAACAACTATAAAAAATATTTAAACAATTTATCATCTCGCGTATAATTTCTCTAATGGAACACGGTTTAAAGCAACCAATATTTTCCTTAAACATCTCAAAGATACTCTTATAAAAAAAAATACAAAATAAATGAGAAGATAAAATAAAATAGAAAATGAAATCTTTAAAATTTATTAAAAAAATTAATGAAATAAATTTAAATTTAAAAATAATATAACATTATAAATCTCTGATTTTGAACTTATCCGTAAAAGATGAATTAAATATAAAAAATGAGTTGCATTTGAATTTTGAAATTGAGAGGCTTCGTTCTGCATTTAAATATCTACAAACAAGGAAGTTGTATATTTTGGAATCATTTTGATAAAGATATGATTTTCAGTTAAATATATTATGAAAGTATTATTAGATATGTTAAAATTTTTGGAGTGAATCAAAACACAAAACCATTAAATAAGGTTTGAATATTCCTCCTTATCAGGATTGGAGGTCAAAGATGAGTATCAGGTAGACGTTAAGGCAAAAAATAGCAGTAACTTGGGATCTTTCTGCAGTCAATTTCTTGTTTAATGTGTACTCATTTTTCCAAAGTTCATTGAGAAAGAAAACTTATACATTGCTCAGTTGTTTCTAACACACAATCAAATGCAAGAAATGGTACTACATTGCACGGGGAAGAAAATGTAGCAACTGAGTCTGAGGGGTTGGTACTTGAAATTTTTATCCCAATACACTCATTTTCAAGAAAAAACAAGTACCCAAATAAACTACTTGAATATTATTTACACTACTACAATACAACTATTTAATATATTTAGAGGTTGACTCACTGTTATTTCTTATTTATTTTTTTCTCTTTATCTTAATTTGAACCATCTCTTTTCATTATTTTTCTTTTTTCACTCTCAAATCTCCACCGAACATGAATGAAATTTTTTTTCTGTGTTTAAAAGCCCTGAAACACTTTGCAGTTATATATGTATATATATATATATTTCTGAAAGGTCTGAAATTTAAACAGCTTGCAGTTAAATGAAAACTATTTTTATTATAAAAAATAAGTTTAAAAAATTACCTTTTATTTGAATAATGTTAAGGTAGATTCTATATATATATATATATATATATAATATATATATATATATATATATATATATATATATATATATATATATATATATATATATAATATATATATCATACAACACATATTTGTCATGATGATTAGCCATTTTTTTAAATTATAATATATTTCTTAAATAATAATAATATAAAGTAAGAATTCAAAATCATTGTGGTGTAAAATTCAACCACAACATACATTTTTTTAAATCTTAAGAAAATTCATATTATTTCATCACTAATTATTTTAACAAATAATAAAAAAGGAAAATCACAAGTTAATACCTGAAATTTTTTGAAGAAGAAATGTACCAAATACTTGTCAGAAATGATAAAAATAATCTATACATATAAAATAATATTTTAATAAATAAGTTCTTTATGTTGTAAACCTTCAATGTATGAAGATGGTACATTTTCGTCATCGACATTTTTTTAATATTATATATATATATATATATATATATATATATATATATATAAATTTTATGCAGAAGTGTTATATTTACAATTTTAAAATAAATATTTTTTTTTATTTAAGTAGTTCTTTTAATAAATTTGTGCTTAAAAAACACTACTTTAATTTATATTTTTTAAATAGATTAGAAGCTGGGTATCTTACTAGAATTGTAGGGTTTTCTTTTTTTAATTATAGTAAAATTCGTAATATGAGAGTAGATTTAAATAAAACTCATCTATGACTTAGAGATTTAAAAAAATATTATGAAAGAAATTAAATTATAAAAAGATAATGTAAAACTAATTTTATTTAAATCAGATATTAATTTTATTATAAAATATATAAAAAACTAGTTTTATTTATTTATTTAATTAAAATAATATATAATAATTTATATACAGTTATTTTGTTTTGTTTAAATTGAAATGAAAGGTTAAAAATACATATGTATGAACAATTAAATTTAATAAAAGCAATAATAATTGTATTAAAAAAATTGGACTTATGAACAATTAACAATCAAATTATTAAATTTAATTTTTATAATGAAAAAGAAAAAAAAGAACAAATACTTATAATTTTCTTATATCAAAAACATATTTATAATTTTCTATAAACTTGTATAAAAATCTAAAATTTTAAAATCAATTTAAAAAATTAGATAATAATCTATACATAACATGGTATAACAGTTAGACAATAATCTATTTGCTTTTATTTGAAAATTCAATGAATTATATAATTAATTTTTTTTTCATATGAGAGTGACTTTCAAAAGAAAGAAAGCTCACGAGAGGAGAACAGCTACTTTATGCTGTGCGACTGCAGGGTGTCATCCTTTTCATTTTTGGAATCCTTCATGAGTTAATTTCTTGTTTAGTGTGCCACAATTTAACATACGCAACATTTATTAAGAAAGCAAACAAACCTTGAATAATCTTGTATGTGAAAACATCAAAAGTAAATGTCAATGCAATGTTATAATATCAAAACCAAGATAATTAGTTGGGCAGTGATTTTGCATATGCTTAATATAAAACTCTGTCATGAGGCTCTCTTTCAAAGAGAAAGTAAAAGCAGGTAAATTAATTGGTGTGTGGTGGCTGCAGCTACTAATAACCCATGCATGCATTATCATGCAGAGAGTTGTCTGTTGTGTGCTAGGGTTACAATCACATCACATTCACACCCTTACTAATAAAGAAGCCATGCATTGTCTGTCAGGAATCTTTCCTGCAATATTTATCAGCATGCAGTATGTGAGAATCCTGTTAAGAAGAGGATTGTATTTCAACTTTCGAGATCCAATGTTAGGTGGCAATTCTTCTTGGACCCTGATTCATTTTGTATAGCCTTTTACTAAATCAATCCATGAATTATAATTTTAAAGACTGAATTAGTTATTTATATATATATATATATATATATATATATATATATATATATATCAGTATTAACTGATAAAAACAATAATAAACACTCTATCACATATATATACATAGTTCTTCTGCAGTGTGACATAGATGCTAAAGCAAAAACCTACCAACGATAAAGTTGAAAGATCTTTCTCCTAAATTATATGGTGTACAAGAATTAAATTTAGGTATAGTCAGGGAGACCTGGTATCAATTTTGCTAGAGTTTATTAAGACGGAGAAAACATTGAATATTATTTTCAATATGAGAATTGTGGCTTCTAATATGCTTTAACTAAGAAAATAAAATATACTTAATTTATTCAGATTGGCAACATGTCAATAAATATCTGAACTTACGGGTACAATTATATGAAAACCATGTTAACAATTTTTGCTATGTATGGTAGCATTTTCTGGC